CACCACACAGATCGGGTGACACTGAAAATATGGTTTTAATTTCCTATAAGCGCTTATTAGGGCAAGCGCTAATTTTTCTAAGTATGGGTACCGGGTCTCGGCCTCACCTAAAGTTCGACTAACATAGTAAATAGAAAATTGAGTACCTTACTCTTCTCGAACTAGGACCCCACTTATCACGATTTTCGAGACTGCTAAGTACAAGTAGAGTCGCTCGTCCGCTTTCGGGGTATGAAGCAGTGGCGGGTTCGAGAGGTACCGCTTTGAATTTGATTCCGAGCATACGCCCAAGTCCCAAATCACGATACAGACCTACCGAAACTGTCAAAATACTGATCCGGGTCCGTTGGCTCAAAATGTTGACCGAAGTCAATTCAGTTGAGTTTTAAAGCTCTATTCCATATTTTAATCAATTTTTCATATAAAAACTTTCCGAAAAAATTTACGGACTGCGCACACAAGTCGAGGAATGCTGAATAGTGCTTTTCGAGGTATCAGAACACAAAATTGAATATTTAAAATTGAAGATGACAGATTGGGTTATCATAAGTTTCCCCAAATCTTTTGTCGAATTAAGCATACTCTTGAATTTTTATGTGTTTATTTGTGTATTTTTTGTCTCCTCTTTTGGCAGTTTTCTTCATTTTGCTTGGTTTGATTACGCTAGCGTTTGGTTGAAATTTGAAAAAAGAGTTTTTAAAATTGTGTTAAAAAATAATTTTTGAAATTTGAAGTTATGTTTGGACATGTATTTTAATTAAAAAAATCTTGAAGTTTTGTGAGCGAAAGAAACCCAGAAACTGCCCAAAATCAGTTTTGGGACTTTAATAAAAAAAATTCAATTTTTTTTTAAATTGATCATATTCTATAAACAAACAGAGTAGCCAAAATCTATGACCAAACGGGAGCTACAATAATCTTATCAGCATCCACTAACTGACTAATTTAGATTCACATCAGTATGACTTATTAAATGGAAAGCAATATAGGAGTTTGAACTCGAGACTTCTAATTTGACCCTCATTGGAAGTACTCTCTAATCTCTATCATTAACTTTTTCATTCTTAGGGCTCGAACGCGAGATTTATGGTTCGAGCTCATTAAAGGGAAAGACTCTAGCTTTTTTCATTCCTAATTTTCTAATCTGAAACTTTTGGTCAAGAACATGAACATAACATTATTGACCATTTGTTTATGAGTTCCAAATTTGAAGGGAATATTGGCGTAACTGGAAAAGTTGCTGTCATGTAACTAGGAGGTCACGGGTTTGTGCCGCGGAAATAGCCTCTTGCAAAAATGCAGGGTAGGGCTGCGCAATAGACTTTTGTGGTCTGACCCTTCCCTGGACCCCGTGCATAGCGGGGGCTTAATGCACCGGGTTGCTTTTGTTTATGAGTTCCAAAGTACAATGAGATGGCTAGTTGATGATTATTCTTCATTTGCACGTTCTTTAACACTGGTTAGTATATTTCTTCTTACATATCTGTAGTTCTCTTTGGGAAATGGCTCCAAAACTATCTGTTGGTGATGCTGAACCTTACAGCTTTGAGCATTTGAAAGATATGACGGACAACTTTAATTTCTTAATTGAAGAGATGAAAACCGACATCCATGTTTGATGAAGTTAAAGGGGTTCTGTTTCAATATATACTTGCTGTTGTATATGATGAAGTACCAACTAAATTTTTGTCCGAGGTGCTTAGTTCTGGTAATGGAGCTAACTACTTAAGAATTTTTTCACCAGCTATAGTTGATGACTAAGAGCGTTGACGTAGCCGGTAAAGTTGTTGTCATGTGACCTCCTATGTGACCAGGAGGTCACGGGTTCGAGTCGTAGAAACAATCTATTACAAAAATACATGATAAGACTGTGTACAATAGACCTTATGGTTCAGTCCTTCCTCAGACCCCGCGCATAGCGGGAGCTTAGTACACCGGGCTGCTCTTATAGTTGATGACTAAATTTACTAGTATTTGTGTGTTTTTATCGTGTCGTTTGTTCCTTTGGCAGGCGAAAACTTTGGATGGGATGATAGAACGAAGGTAGCGATTCAACTTGCAAGCCTCTTCGCTTGGTTGAATGAGAGGCGATTTGCATTTGGTAGTGTCACACCTTCGGTATAATGATTGACAAGGTAACAAATGAACCATATGGCCCTCTTTACTTGCAGTGGCGGATGCAACTCTTTAGTTACGCGTTTATTTGAACTCAGTATTTTCGACGCATATCGATCATACGTATATATGCAAAAATCTATTAAAATATTAACAAATATTAGATTAGATCTGAACTCATAATCTTAAAAGTACAATGAGTTTAGTACCAAGAACCTTGCCGAGTCCATCAAGTTTAAATCTTGAATACGCCTTTGCTTTACAAGTTAGTGTTTGATCGTCTTGTAGGACTTCAATATAAAAAGTATTCGACTTTGGTTACCTTGCTCCCTTAACGGAGGAGGACAACGGAGTTCCCATGCCTTATCTTGCTCCCGAGGCTAGAGACGGTGCGTCTATTTTTGTTGTCTTATTTAGTTCAATGTCTCTACTGCTAGTAAACTTTTCAGAATATATTGCAATGACACATCTATTTATTGTAACTGATTACTAGAACCAGCTATGCTCTAATGCTGTAATCCTATAAGCATATCTCTGTATTTGTTTGCATATTCTGCCAATACTAAATTTGTAATTTCATTTCACCCGTTATTTTTTGCTCTTTCGTGTTCAATCATCAATGTCTATCTCTATTCTATTGCCTGAGTAATAGGACAGACAAATGACTGTCGTTCGTTCACATTATTGGCATCAAAATGTCGAAATTTCCTTGGTATTTGCTAATTCTTTGAGCTGAGATCATCTTTTTATGTGTAAGATTGTTCTTTTTGTTTGTCTAATAAATAGCACATTACATTAGTATGACTTCTGTTTCATACAGATACTCGGACTTTAAAAGCTGATGTTTACATATTTGGTGTTCTACTTGTGGAGTTGATTGCCAATAAGGAAAACATTCCCATTCCACACTGCGACTGGATTCTGATGCTATCGATAGTAGATAAATCACTTCTGCAAGATAACGATGAACTGGCTAATAGCATCACGAGAATAGCAGCAGCATGTTTGGACAAGGATCCAAATGCGCGCCCAGATATGAAGGATGCCGTTGCCAACTTGTCCAATTTGGTAAAGGGAGCAACTCGAATAAGGAAGAAGTAACTAGCTACTACTTTGTTAAGCTTATTGCGAGTTTTTATTTGCTCAAACAGTTGCTTAATATGAATCAGTTGGGCATCAAGTATTTATGCTAGATGTGTTTTTCTTTCTGTTTATTCTTCCTCTTGGTATACTTGATTGATTTCCAGCTTGAATCAATGCTTTATTTAGTCATGGACTTACGCAATCAGCGGTGCCTGTCCCCGTTTATATGCTCTGTGGAATATAATTTCAACAATTAATGCTGTAAGTTGCAGGGGTTTATGCACATTTGTTTACTTTTTACCTGTGTTATCACGTGAGATGACACAATGTTCCTTGTTATTAAGCTTCTATATACCTCGTATTACTCGTGCTTCCTTTCTCTTTTGCCTAGATTAGCTTGATTGCCGCTACTTCTTTTCATCTTTTTTATTAGCCGAGGGTCTATCGAAAACAGTCCCTCTGTCCTCCCAAGGTACGCTGTGTACATCCTAACGTTCAGTGAATTTGTTGTTGTTGTTCCACTGTTAAAGCTATACCTTCATTTGCTTGGTATTTGTGCAGACACTGTTATGTTTTCAGAATAGGAAAGCAATGTGTTTTGACTTTTGACTTTTTCTTATTCCAGTTTTTCACTCACCACCATCTCCTCCTTTCCTTAACAATGGATATTTCTTCCAAAATAGTGAAGTTAATGAAAGAAATTTTCTATTAAAATTCCAGTAAAAGTGTGAACGTTATGCCTTTTGTTTGACACTGTTGTCTTTTTAGAATAGGAAAGTAATGTGTTTTGACTTTTGACATTAATTTTCTGATTCCAACCTTTAACTCACCACCCTCTCCTCCTTTCTTTAACAATGGATTTTTCCTTCCAAAATAGCGAAGTTAATGAAGAATTTCTTTTATCAAACCTCCAGTATAGAAGTGTGTACCTTGTGCCTTTGTTTGGCCCTATTGCTGAATTGTATATATAATTGAAATGTTATTTTTCCTATTGGGGCTTTGTGAACTGCATCTGTAACTTGGAGCGTTCTCTGGTGCTGTGTAATTCGACCTTTTACCTTGTCTTGTGTCTCAAGTACATCCTCCCACTAGTCCTCGGGTTTTTGTCTAGCGGTAAGAACTCAGCACATGATGTGTGGAACGCATGTAATGCTTTTGTATAAACAAGTCTGACATTTAAGTGGAGAATGATAGAGGCTAGCCCATTATGCGCCAATTTTGAATTGTGCGTCACTAACCCTCGTGGAATTCTTAGAGCAAGATTACCCATAGTCTCATAGCAAGATTGCCCAAAGTAAATTAAAGTAAATCTCATTTGTTTTCATTTCTTCATAGAGTCAAGATCAAATACTTTTATTCAATCATTTGAATATACTAACTTGAATTTATGATTTGCATGTATGCATAGTTCGAGCCAAATCTGTCCCTGTTTAGCTGTTCATTTTTCTAAAACTATGGTCATGTCCTGTTACGGTAGTTCTATTTGCAGCATTAAATAAGAACTGTAAGAAGAGTTTGTAACTTGTAAGAATGAAAATGCCCTAATTAAAGTATGTTGCAACATCATAAGTTTCTACCCATCTTGTTTTCGATTGAAAATGGATACAAATTAAAAGCCAAACTAAAGAAAGTCTTTCAAGAAATTCGGAGTATGCAAAAGTAAATACTTATGTAGGAATATAGGAAAGAATGTTACTATTGTCAATTTACATCAACACAAAGTAAATACAAATACTATAAACAATATTGGATATGCCTAGGATCCAATCAATCTATCTAGTGAGAAAATAAAAAGAGGAAAATTCAATCAAACATGTATAAGTCTTACTTCATAAACAAACACTAAGATGCATCTTCACAATTCAATCATATATACTCATTTTCTCTTCTTCACTACTAATAATCAATCCAACTACCAATGATCATACAACAATTCAAATGAAAACCATGCTATTTTCATCATCAAATCTCATATCTTCAAGATTACAATGAACTCCGTCGTCTTGTAAACATGGTACTTCAAAATCCATATCGAACATCAACCCATATTGATCGTCCTCCTGACCGCATTTGGACAAGTGGACCGTTGTTTCATCCTTCGAAACTTCGTTCATTTCTTGATGAGACAACTGAAGATGATTTTTTACTAATAAATCAAACAAATGATGATGAATTGTGTTTGAGTTTTGGCTTTGATAGGGTGGATTTTGGTTATTAATGTCATAATTCAATGAATGGTTGTATAATTCTGGAGAAGTGACAGCAGCCTCGTACGTGTTTTGTGGGCTAAGATTGTTTGTACAATTGTTGTTGTTCTCAGCTTTAGCTTTGTGAAACACTCGACATAATACCCAATCTTCCTGTTCAATGATCACACACAAAAAGTTAAACAAAACAAACATTATGGGTGCTATATTTGATGCAAGGAAACAACTGTATTTACTCATAGTAGCTAAAATCTAGCCATAGTATACTCATTGTATCCTTCTTTTGTTACAAAAGAGGAGGTTTCTAGGAAACTTCTTACAAGAAACTCCACAATTTTTTAATCTTCAAACGCTTTACACGTGTATCAAGATTGTTCAAGTCGTGAAAAATGTGCAAAAATCATTAATACTTTCAATTTTATACACTTTATACGTGTCTCAAAATCTATTCAAATCGTGAAAGATGTCAAATATACGTTCCACAATCAAAATATTCTAATTGTAATGCGTGTCTGGAAATCTCTTCAAATTTTAAGTTTAACAAATTTGTATTCATTTTCACGATCTTTTCGACAAGCTTAAAAGTACACGTGAATCATAGAAAAACGATAAAAAGACAAATCACCACCCTAAGGAAAGTGCATTGAAATGGATTGTTGTAAGAATTAAAAAGGACATGAAAATGTTGCAGGGAGAAAAAAGAATTAAGGTATATATATTGGTTGTTCAGAGTTGTATGCTATCGGTGTAATTTAACTTTTCATAGAATGCAAATTACCATTTTTACAAGATTATCAAATAATTTTATCGTAGAAATTTACTTGTATTTAATTTATAATTGACCTAAATATATAAAAATTGATGTTCATCCCGGTAATGGATATAACTTAATTAAACTCGAAGAGAAAAGAATAAAACATTACCTTAGGGGGTATATGGGGGTTTTCCACGCGAAATTCATGCATGATCCAGCCAGTTTTAATGCCATTAGGAGCTCTATTTTTGTAGAAGACTAAAGTTTTTCTCATTCCTACGATAGCACGCGTGCAAGGATCGAGCACTGTTCGATCTTTGCCCGTAGCTTTCCAGTAACCTGAAATTGTGGCCCGGTTAGCCCGAAAACCGGTGGTATACTTGCGATCTCGGAAGCTGAAGAAGTACCACTCACTGGAGTTGAGCTTTGCCACCTCTAATTTAAGAACAACATTCATAGAAAATAGACAATTACTTCAAATGATAACAAGAGTTTACGAACAAAGAGGAAGTTTATAAAAATGACATCACATATTTAAGATCATAAGGTTCAAAAAATAGTTGTATATGCTATACTTATTTTTAGTTTAAAACCACACAATTTTCAAAAATATTTTTAGTTTTTTTAAACTTTGTGCCTAGCTAGCTAGCCAAACTAAGAGAGAAAAAAAAGATGAGATCGGATGGTTTATAAATTTTGTTTTCTCGAGACAATCACTTAATAGTACTCTACGTAAATACTTATTGAGTTTAACATATTTACTTGGAAGGTCATTAAAAAGCTAACTATTTTAGTATTTGCACTAAGTATATGAGATGGTACTTTAAAAAAAAATTATAGGTGGCAATCCATTACAGTCGATAAATTATATAATGGAGCTTGAAATATTTTTTACTATTGATACTAAATTAATCTTATAGAACAATATTAATGTCCGAACGCAAGAGGTGTGCATGAGTGAAAAGCTAGAGTTACGTCTAGCTTTGCAGAAATTTTAATTGCAGTAAATAGAATATAATATGAATAATTGCAGAAATTTTTTGACTTTCATTTTCTTTGACCAAGAAAATAAAGTTCACCAAAATCAATTTCAAAACATTCTTTTAGTTATATACACGTGAGCCTTTTGCTGGTTCATCTTCCCAATTAACTAGACAAACAAGGGAAAATATATTACAGAAAAATGAAATACTACTAATATATACCAAAATTGAGTTGTCAAACTAAATGAATCATTGGTTGTAGACCACCTCCATTGGCCTATCCATTCATGTCTCTATCTTTTGTATATATATTAAAAAAAGTATTTTATTTATATACATTAACAGTATAAAAAGATATTTCGGTTTACAATACTATACATGTATACTGTTATCTTTTTTTTTTGTGGAGAAAATTGGAAAGCTTTATACTGTTATCTATTTAACTATCTCTTAACGACATACACCTCTAATATTTAAGTTTATTTTGGGAAAAAGGATAGATAATTTACAGATATTTTTATGTTTATTTTGGGAAACAAAAAGGAAGAGAAAAAGAGAAATGAACATACCAGGAAGCTGCCATGGCTCACAAGTGTGAAGATCAATTTCCACTAAAGTACCTTTAATTACTTCTTCATTTGTAATTTTATTGAAGAGATAATGGCAAACTAACTCTTCATCACTTGGACAAAATCTAAACCCTGGGGGCAGTGTAGCTCCAATCTCTCTTAAATCCATTTTTTATAGGAAATTAAAAGAAAAGAAGAGAATGTTTTTTGTGATGTTTTAATGGAAGTTGGTAATCTAAAAAAAGCTTTCTATTCTTATAGATAGAGAAGCAATGGCAGGTATATTTATATACAGAGAAGGCACGTTGAAAATTTGGATTTTTTTTGGAATTTTAATGAAAAACCAAAGTCACAAGATATCTTCTTATGTGGGCTTAAGTGTACATAATAATAGTAGTTAATATCGAATTATTGCTACTATAATAAGTTCAAATCATATTATAATATAGGGGATAACCTCCAAATTACTACTTTTAGCTAGATGAGCAGCCAGTGGGATGTAGGTTTAGGTTAATCTTTCCAAAAGGGAAACAAGTTCAAATTATGTCAAAAGTTAACAACTTAATACAAGCTGTTACTGGTTCTTTCTTCCATCAGTATGTTTGGTAAACCTTTCCTTAAATTCTATTGGAGTCAGGATTTAAACGATGAGAAGTCAAAAAATGAAGAAGTAAATACACAAAAAGTCAAAGGAAACATATATACTATATATATATATATATATATATATATATATATATATATATATTGCCT